TTTAAAATGGACTCGTGGAAGTCCAAGCCACTTCATAAGCCTTAGGTAGGTGCTTCAGTGTAAGGTAGCTTCAATCCATCATCTCTACACCTTCATCCTCACTAGCGTCGCTGGAGTCTATCCCAGCTGACTCAGGGTGAAGGCAGGTTCACCTGGACAGGTAACCAGTCTATCACAGGGCTACACTTAGAGACAGACAACCAAGCACACTCACATTCACACCTACGGACAATTTACAATCACCAATTAACCTCAGCATGTTTGTGGACTGTGGGAGGAAGCCGGAGAACCCGGAGAGAACCCACGCTGCACGGGGAGAACATGGAGACTCCACGCAGGAAGATCCCGGGTGTCCTCACGGGGACGTCAACCGGCGACCTTCTAGCTGCGAGGCCACGATGCTAACCACTGAGACACCTGCAGCCCAAGGTAGTTTCCATGTAACCTAAATACACGATGGTCTACAATGTATACAGCAGTTAAACTACATAATTTGACATTAAAAGCCAAGAAAAGTGTCGCTGTCAAGGCCGCACAAAGGTCTGATTTGTCTCAATGCTGTGAATGTGTACTTACAATGTACAAGATTGTTTCCAATCTAAATATATATATGAATAATAAATCATATTCTGCCAACAAACAGAAACAGAGATGGAAATACTAACTTAGTAGAAGTAATTTGTTTCATTAGTCTTTACTTAGTGACGATCTCTCCAAACCGCTGTGAGGACTGAGAGATGGCTGCAGACCAACAGTGTTATCATTGTTTACAGAGTTTATGGAGAGGATGTGGTCTCAGGTCATGTCCAAAATTAAATCATGTCAGCCGAAACGGTTTCCAAAGAATCAAAATAAATATTTCTCCAAACAGCCCTGCAGCCTAATACTCCTACATTGTAATCCATATGCTCATCGTGTCTTAAAAAGTCCGTTATTTCTCCAAAAACAGACCCCTTATGTTTTGTTATGGGCAACATGGAAGCATTGCATAATGCTGCACAGGCTGTGTGTGAGACACGAAGGCAGCCTTTAGTGTGCAAGACGCAAAAGAACAATTAAAATCGAAACTACGCCAGATTAATATACTTCAAAGGGAGATTCAGCAACAGATGACGGTGTCTGCATGTCCCAAGTTAGACGCCTTGAGAGCGCTGTGAAGAACTCGACCTGCCAACGGCTGCACCGGACAACCTGCCTGGACTTCTACCACACATATGCTGATCTTTTCATGATTCATGTGATTTTATGTACATGTCCGTCACAGCAGTCTGTAAGCAACTTAAACAGTGAGAAATCCTTATAATTTACGGGTATTGCGTATAAATCTGCATCGTACATGTTGACAGGCAGGAACTGAAGCAGAGTGAGGAGAGGTGCTGCAGCAATGCACAGTAAAAAAAACTGTCTGTGTTTGAACATTAAAGCATGTAGACATACTCTAGTAGACCTCACAAACTATAAACACATAAATGTTTAGGATATGGGCATTTTAAATCAGGTTCAATAGATGAACTAGAAAACTTTCCACCAGCAGAGGGATTAGTGTGAGTGTACGTTTGGGGTGGAGCATCTCATTATTCAGCAACCGTCAAATTAAGAGATCTACAAAGGTGCTATTCTATCAGCCAAGAATTGCAGGTTTTGGTTTTTTCAGACACACAATTTTACAAGAAACGTCTCAACATGTCAGTTTCGATGTGCCATTGGCTGGTGCCTGTTCACCACGCGCATGCACACACCCACACCCACAGCACCGCCAAATATGTTCTACAGAAACCTTTATAGAAGTCAGGCTGCTGGTAAAGCACCGAGTATTACAGCTGTTACTATGAGAGTGTGGTCGGCGTTGTCCCGACCACATCCTCCCGTCGTTTCAGAGAAGCAGTTTAACTAGAAGTGAGCGCCGTGACTGACAGTGTGAAACAGGCCGCCTCGTTAACGCTGGTCCAAGTCGTCGCAACCACCATCTCACAGCAACACTCAATCAGCCACGGCTGTCAGAATTAAAAACAACCGTCCTCGATGAGATATCGGCACGGACAGGAGGGCACGACTTCCTGCACGTTCGTGATAAGCACATCTATTTCTCTATTCAAAGTACAGTTTACTTACAGTTCTCAGTCTCATATCAAATGCATCCGTTTTATTTTAACCTGTCTAAAGCAATGTCAAGTCAGTAAATTCTGAATATTACTCGTTCTTTCGGTTGGATTTTTCAGACATGATTGCATTATTTATGGGTGATATTTCTTTCCAATCATGACAGTCCACTTCCTGCATCAACCCAAACCTCGGCAGCAGTCCAAGTCCTCCGCGGACTTATCTTAACGTTGGCGAATCGGAAGTCATCTTCTCTGCTGTGACTCACTGGACGCTGACCCATGTGTGCCGTTTCACCAAAATCATCTCAAACTGATCTGAAGTGCAATTAATTCATCTCATGCTTCTTCTGCTGAAGGTTTTTATTGTGCGGTCTGGTATGGCATTTATTGGATTTAGGTCATTGAGCAATTCAGAATGATTTCTCGTCTGGATGGATGCCCTGGCACTTGACCATCATGTGGACCAGTACGCTAAATTGAACAGAGGCCTTGACTCTGAAAACAACAGCAAGAGCAGGTTTTCAGCATAGGCAATATTTAGGAGGCCTTGTCCTGCTTTTTTATGTAAGACTTTTTAATTGCATTTTCAAAGAGAAGTCAAAAATCTACCGACATTTCGTTTCCTATTCCATTGAAATAAGGTTGTTTGTAATCAGAGCACATGTGCACCGAGTATATAACTCACCGGACTGGACATCCCGCACAAATAAATCACACTCAAGTGGCCTGGGAACTAAGATGGGTCCTTGTGTAGTGAGAGATTATTTGGAATTTTACAAGGCAGAACTGTCAATATTACCCCCATCAATCTGCAGGCAGAGGTTACGTCAAAGTTCGGCATCCGCAACGTGCCAAGAATGTGTTGCCTGTAAAACCTGCCGGCAAAAATGTGAGCGGCTCAAACCCCAACTCCTGCCAAAGAATGTACCGAAAGCAGAGAGACGTCACCGAGGTGTCAAACCATAGACGCACAGATAGCACTGAGCTTGTGCGTTATAATAAACAATTAAACCCCCTATATCCGCTCACACCAGATACGAGCATGTGAACAGGGCATCCTATACACAGAGCATGCATTCTAAACACAGCTGGCCCTTCAGGGACCATCCACTGGCCTCTACAGCTACACATAAGCGATAACAAAATAAGAGGCACACATTTCTGACGTCTCTTGCATTCATGTCAGCCATTTGGACCAGTGGTAGTACTGTGTAGAGTACAAATACTGTGAGAAACAATGACGACTTTGTCCAGTACAGGCGAGTGCCACCCCTTCACCTTCTCCAAGTTTCACTTTATGGTCTCATGACTGAAATTATGACAGCAGCAGCAGCAGCAACAGCAGCAACAGCGACTAGATTTACATTGCAGAGCTGCTGACATGAGCTTCAATAAACGTGCTTTCAACATACTGTAGACTAACGCGATGTGAGGAAGTGTCATCATCTGTGGTGCCCTTGAGCAATACCCCCCAACGCCTATACACACCAGATAAGTCAACTGAAAGGCACGGCCTCAGACTCGAAGGCATAATCCCAACAAAACCAAACAGTTGAGCAATCTTATCGATCAATCTGTCAAATATATGTTTGCGCAGCCTCCTAAAATGTGTAAGACCTTGGGTGTCTTGCTCAAGGATTTTCTTCCACCACCTGTGTTTGTTTTCCAGCAGCATGACATATCTCATTGTGTTACTCACTCCTGTAATGATAAGGCCGACTGTGCCACTGATCTAGGTGAGGTCAACAGACTAACTGTTTGGCAGCGCTGCAGAATATGTAACGACGAGTACCGACTGGGGAAGCAGTTAATTATTGTCATTATTTTCCCAATAAAACAATCAGTTGTTTGGTCTATAAAATATCAAAAGGTTGGTCAGTATTTATAAAGATCCCGAAGAGTCCTGCTTTGTCCAGAACTTACTAAAATAAATCACATTGAAGTAGCTGCGATCGGTGAATTTTTACCGATTAATTCATCCATCATCTCTACACCTTCATCCTCACCAGGGTCATGGGGGGCGGAGCCTATCCCAGCTGACTCAGGGTGAAGGCAGGTTCACCTGGACAGGTAACCAGTCTATCACAGGGCTACACTTAGAGACAGACAACCAAGCACACTCACATTCACACCTACGGACAATTTACAATCACCAATTAACCTCAGCATGTTTCTGGACTGTGGGAGGAAGCCGGAGAACCCGGAGAGAACCCACGCTGCACGGGGAGAACATGGAGACTCCATGCAGAAAGATCCCAGGTGTCCTCACCGGGACACCAACCGGTGACCTTCTAGCTGTGAGGTGACGGTGCTAACCACTGAGCCACCTTGCAGCCCCTCAAACTGATTAATCAACTATCAAAATAGCTATTGAATAATATAACGGTTGACAATAGGTTAATTAATCCACATTAAATGTTGCATCACTAATTACTATCCCTACCACTCACTTCAGTCATTATTCTGTTCCACATATTAGAAGCATTTCTCTTGTAGCCATTAAATCAGCTCAGAAGCGCAGTCCTTTCAACCACACGCTTCCTTTGAACATCTGGTTTTCCCTTCTGGGAATCACATCCTGGTTCTTCAGTCGTACACATCGCGGCTCGATTACTGACACTCCAGTCAGAAATACGCTCTGCTACACAAATCCTGTTCAAAATACTCAGACAAAGTACAGGATGTGCTTCTGCTCATCTCATTACTGGCCTGTGTTGTGAATACACCCATTTCACGGTAACCACGGTGCAGACAGCCTCCCTGGAAGCAGCCAGATGATGAACACAGAAGATGAGAGCAGAGGGTGTTTTTTTTTTTTTGCACTGTAACTTCCAGTGTGGATGAGCAGCCTGGCTCAGCAGCACAATGCCTGACATAGCAGAGAACTTCACTGTTTACCTTGATAATGCTGCTCCTGCGCGGTATCTCGGATTTGGCGTCCTGTCCGACAGAGGTGTTGTCGGCTTGGCTGCCAGGTGCGACGACGGATCCGGAGCCGACCATGTTCTCCGATATCCCACAGTCCCCATTCAGCACCGACACTTCGCAATGCGTCTTGCCAGCTGCCTCGTCGCTGGGCACGGCCGGATCCCCGAGACTCAATGGAGGCAGGCTGCCGTCCTCCCCAAACTCCGCCATAGGCACTTCGAGCACACACACACACACACACACACACACTCACACGACACACACACACACACACTCGCGGTGACACACAAGCTGCTGGGTAGCGAAGCCTTCTGGTTCAGCTTTACTCCAATTTCCTGCCTGGCCTATTGCCTCGTTGAAACGTTTGCACGGAATCCTGCCGTCTCATCTGCACAGCTCGGTCCGGTTCGGGGGCTGGTCCTGTGTGCATGGCGCTCTGTGGAGGGAAGCGATGAGCACAATCAGGCTACATGACATTAGCAGGAGCAGCTTCTGTGTTTTTTTTATTTATTTTTTTGAAGCGTTGCAGAGCCGTGAGGAGAAAGCGTGAACATCTCGTGCGCGCTGAAAGCGGATGTTAACTTACAGCCCTGTAGCATAAAGAAACCGTCTCTGCGTGCACGAGCTTCTTTTTTTTTTTACTCTATATTTTTTGTGCAGTTTTCCCCTCACAAGTTCACCGTTTTCGCCCCACAGACCAGCCCATTATGTTCCGTTCGGCTGAGGGAGAACCCACCCTCCTCCTCTCCGGCTCGCCGCCGCCGCCGGAGCCGCCGCTCGGTAACGGTGAAGGTGAATAACAGCGTCTCAACTTATCGGTTCAATTAACTTGCTCGCAAAAAGCTCAGAATTAGCTCCGCGCGGCTTCGTGTACTCGCCTCCCGAGCTGCCTCCGTGAGACGGACGGTGCTCCCTGGAAGTTGCCGCTGAAGGGGGAGCCGGGCTACCGTTCGGCGTCCGAGCTGCCGCGAAGCCGAGCCGAGCCGAGCTAGTTAGCTCTGCTAGCTAACCGCCTGCTAGCCGGGGCTGAAGTTAGTTTTCGTCTCAAAGTCCAGTGAGCGGCGGCGAGCCTTCGGTCGGCGAACAAACAAGCCGAGAGCCGTCCTCCGTCGCCTCCCTCCCGCCGGTCAGCCCCTCCGCTCGGCCACCGACACCGCGATCCGGCCGTTACAGAGCTCGCGCGTAGTTTTGTTGAAGCGACGTTTCCAGGGAACAAAGTTGTGTACGTCTCGTGAACGCGCAACAGGCAAAACAGGCTGCGGTGTCAATCAAAGCTAATTATTTGTTCCACGCGCAGCAGCAGCAGCAGCAGCAGCACCGCCCCGATTCCGCTCCTGCTGCACAGGAATGCTGCACAGGTCGGCTCGGACCCACAGCATCAGCCGCGGTACCGCCACACGGGTCCAGAAGAATGTTAGTTACAGAACAATACAAAGAAAAAACTGTGCACACAAAAAGAAGTACCGGTTCAACCAGAAAACACAGAAGTTCAACAAAAAAAAAACTTGGGGGGAAAAATCTGCAAAATAGCACAAAAATTAGCAATAATAATACATATAAAGAAGCATAAATTCCACAGGAAATCACATGCAAACTAGTAGAAGTCACCAAATAAATGCGAATCTGTGAAAATTCAACCAGAAAATATTTTAAAAACGACATAAAAGTCAACAAGAAAATACATGAATAAAAACTGCAAAACTTGGGGTAAAAATCATGCAAAATAGCACAAAGATGAACAACAATAATACATCGAAAGTGCCACAAATTCCACAGGAAATCGCATGCACACTTCTACAAGTTAACAAATAAAGACCTGCAGATCAGGGAAGATTCAACCAGAAAATGTATAAAAAACAACTGGAAAGCTGAAAAGAAAAACATGCAAAAAAAACATTGGCTAAGTTTGGAAAGAAATGCATGTAAAACAGCAAAAAACAATAAGACATATGAAGCAGCATAAATTCCACACAGGAAACCACATGCAAACTAGAAGAAGTCAACACATAAAAACATGCTAATCAGTAAAACTTCAAGCAGAAAATACTTTAAAAATAACACAAAAGTCAACAAGAAAATACTTGCACAAAAATGCTAAACCTGAAAAGAAATGCAAAATACCAAAAAACAGTAAAGGAAAATAGCACCTAGAAAGCAGCACAAATTTAAAAAAATAAAAATAAATGCAAACTAGCAATAAAGTCAACAAATAAATACACACAAATCAGAGAAAACTCAACACAGGACTCATCAAGAAAAAGCACAAAGCAGCACAAAACTGAAGAAGAAACTGCAGTACAAATTAAAACTGAAAGCAAAACAACTTAAAATCCATCCAGAAAGTACACACAAAGCTGCACAAATTCCAAATGCATGCAAAATAGCACAAAAGTCAGCAAATAAATACACACAAACCAGAATGACTCCAACCAGAAACCACATGAAAAACAACACAAAAGACAACAGCAGGCTATTCACAACAACAACACAATTCTTTGGGGGGGGAAAATTCCATTATCATTAACCATATTATTAATTTCTCACTTTCACGTGGGGTTAATTGAGAAAAGTAAAGCTACACTGACAGAAAACAGGTCAGGCACTTTTAATAAGATCAAGACCAAAACAGTTCAGCAGGGGTTGCTATTCTCAGACTGTGACCTTAAAGGATGCTAAAGTCTTCAATTAAACTACATAAAGGTTTAAAATAAATGTCACAGTGTCTGTATCACTAAGGCTGACGTCTGCTTCATTCAGGAGCCACATCTGATGGCTCCAAACAGCGACCATCTCCCTGAGAGGCTCACATGACTTGTGTTTTTCTCAGAGTGTCACTCTGAGTTGGAGCTCTTCCTCTTTACGTGGAAAGTGCGAGCTGATGTACTAATGTCAGTAATGAAGTAATACCTTTAACTGAATAACAGAACCTTGTGCCGTTGCGCCAGATTTCCTGTGAAAACAAACTCCCACAGTAACCAAAGCAAGTCATCAATTCTTAGCGATGAGAACTCTGAAGTATTAGTCACGCATGGCGCAACGCGAACCCTACATGAAATTTAAGCAGGCTGGATCTGTCGACTCCTGCATAAAAGGCCCGGACAGTGAGTGATGAGGCCCGGCATTGTTTAATACGTTTCCTTCATAGGCCACTGGTTCAGATGAAGGCAGATTAAGTAGTTGTTGTGGGGATAAAAAAAAGAAAAAGCAGGAGGAGGTGTGGTGAGCTGTACAACAGCGCCCTCTGCTGCTCCACAGGGGTAGTGGTTTTGCTTTATTGTGCGGGACGTCACTTTTAACCCCTCACTGTTCAACGCATGTGGCTGCTGGTGGTAAAAACTTTTAATGGGAGACAGTACAGGTAAATAGGTTCATGTTCTTAACTAATAAATATCACCATGAAACGGCCCCAACTGCTTAATCACAATTAGATGATAGAATTTCTTTATGCAAATTAGGCAATCTGCATCTAAAATGACACAAATTCACATTAAGAAATCAGAATGTTTGATAAAGCCAGCTGCTAAATTATTTTAGTTTTCTTGACATATGAGAGTCGACAGAGCAAATGTTCGATATCTCTTTGTATCGCTCCATAAATCAGAAAATACTGTCAGAAGACAGAAAAAAACACAAAACTATGTCACCATTTTTATGATAATGATCCATAAATCAGGTTGTGACAACAATACTAACAAACCGCTTTGTAAAAAAAATAAATAAATAATTAGAATACAGACATGAGTAAAACTGGAAAGTCTGGTGAATGTAAGTGCTACTGATGAGGAGATTTCAGGCTCAGAGTGTGTGAAAAATACTCACCATGAAAAAACAGACTTTAAATATGTATGATAGCTGAAATCTACAAAAAAATATATAAATCAGACTGTGAATGATGAATGTACATATAACTCTGTCACAACCTTCACAACATAAATGTATTTTTTAAGTTAAAGTTTTGTGTTTGTTGACATTTCTGGCTATGAGACAAAAACTCAGTTTGAGAAACTGACCTTAAATATACA